GTTTTCACTTTACTTTACCTAACTTTCACTGTATTTATTATTTATTGTAATTTTGACTTAAGAAAAAAATGTGAACTTACAGTTTTTTCCTTTGTTCCTCACACTCGCTCTCTGAGATATTTTAATGGGGGACAAAAACAAAATTTAAGTAGAAGGAAAATGGAAAAATATGTGTTTCAGGGAAGTTATTTCAGCGCTACGTACCTCCTTACTGAACACTGCGTCTGTGAGTTTGGGTCTTGCCTTGCCCTCGTTGTGCTTGATGTCTGTAAAAAGAGTATGAACAATAATGCGTTCAGCAGTTATTTGTTTTTTTTTTTAAATGTTAGTTTAGATTATATGTGTAAAATAAAAAAAACATATACATAGGTTTGGCTTCACCAACCTTTAGGGGAAACAAAGATTTCTTTGACAAAATTTGAAGGAAATGCTCCCACTTTGCCATTTTTTACCCCCATCCACCATCCATCTTCAATCTGTTGTATAGATTGTATCAGGGAGAGACAACATATAGCAAGAAAGCATGTGAGAGAAAAGAGATTAACGGATCATTACTTATCATTCCATAAACATGGAGATTACAGTCAGATGTCTGATTGTTTGAACTAGTAACATGTGTCTCCATAAAGCTGTCATTTGTCTGAGACTCTTTGTCAGCCTGGCGGCCAAATACAAAGCGAACGTAACACTGAAGCAATGAATGAATATGTAAAACTGGCTGTGTAAACATTTCATCAATGTTCTGATTTACATATAATTCCCAGGTTGTAGGTGCTTCGGGCTTCTCACCAGTGGACTACTGCGACTCCTTTGCAGAGCGTGCAGAGCCGCTGTTTGGTTATTGGAGTTCAAATGTGAATGTTTGAGCAGGGATTCGAAGGAACTTTACCTCTCTGATGATCTCAATAGTCTCGCCAACAACCAGCTCCATCTCATCCTCATTTATGCGGCTGTAGGCGAACACTACCTCGCATTTCCTCGTCTGTTTCATCCTCTTTGCTGAAAACACAGAATCATCAGCCACATCGACAGGTGTGTGTTAAGTGTATAATCTACTGGTAATGCAGATGGAGAAATTAGTGTTTGGCTTGATAAAAGGCAGAGTAGTTAAGTTTACAGGATGGTGGTAAGACTATGGTGCTCATTCATCTTTCTCTTGTGTCTGATCCCTCAAAGGTTCTGTGTTTGTCTTTATGTGCTCCCTCTTCATACGCTATAATTAAGCTTTGCGTAGTGAGGATGTGGTAAACCTATTTACAGTCAGCTTGCCTTCTGTACTGTCTTGCTGAGTGCACGCACCACACTGACCACAATATTTAACACATGTGATTTTAGACTATAAAGGTTTTAGCAGATAAACCCACCTGATTTGAATAGCATAGTCAAATATTTTCATGGTTTTATTTGAGCCGACACTCATGCATGCTGAAATAAGGGGATTATAAATATTGCAATATGTGCAGACTTGTAGTACTTTTTAAATGTAATAACATCACCTCTAATTGACTGGAACTGATATAATGTGCCTGACACTGCGATGCCAGAAGGCAGCTAACTCTGGATCTTGTACAGAGTCAAGTTTAAACAGATTTAATAGTTTAGGAGTATCATTCCGAATGGAGATGTCGCACATCTGAAGTAATTGCTACCATCTCCCAACAAAATGATATAAAAGTTCTATCCATCGTAAACATTACATTTTTGTTTTTTTTTATTTGTTTTTTGTTTTTTTTAAGAGTAAGTTGTTTTATTTTGAAATCTTGGATCATATTGTTTGAAAAAAAGGATTAGTGTGATAATTCGATTGGTTTTTAGATTATAGACGTGCAAGACTCGGATCATGTAAAGGATTGATTGATTGATTGATTGATTGATGGATGAAATCTATCAAAACAAAGTAATTCCAAAAGGAATATATAGTCTTTTAAATTGAAACCCTTCTCTGCTTTCTGGTCAAAGTGTGTGTGAATTTAGACTTAGCGTTGTACTTTTTCTGATGCTTCGTGGTTCCCTCTTGCTGTCACCCATCAAATAGACTGGCACCTCCTGTAAAGAAAAAACAGAACGCGGCATATTGTAACACATGCGGGTAAACACGAACACACACAGTACAGTTACAGAACAGTGCCCTGTGTCAACAAACCTTGACAAAGTTGGCAGGGAAGATGCCTCTCTTTCCTCTCAGCTCCCCCTCCAGCCACCCCTCCTCTCCGGCCTTGGCGACATTCTTGATCACATCCCCCGCCCTCATTGTGATCTCGTCTGCCATGGTGCCCTCGAAGTCGATCAGCACCAGCACCTCTACAGCGGCGGAGCCGTAAATGGGGCAGAAAATTAGATTCTTTGCACAAAGGCTGGTGTATACTTGCCTCACAAGTTGATGTGTCCTGACATTTCAAAAGCTCTAGAAGCTCTTGCCAAGGATACAGGCTGTGAGTGAATGTGGATTGTTACAGATAAACCGTACAGTTTTCTTTTGTCAGAAATCTTTCCTCACACATGGAAAACCATATTTTCTGTGTCAGTATTTTCCTGCGGCATTAAGAGAACTTTACAGAAGTGAAAAACCAACAACTGGCAGAAAAGTTGGTGGGTTTTTCCAGCACTCACTGACTTAATAAGATCTCTGGACACATCCAAATAATACGTTTACCCTCATTTTCAGCAAACACAAATGCATATATTAAGTCAATGCAAAGCTATTCAGTCGTGCCACTGCTTTAGTGTTATTTGCATTTCAAATTAAAATATTTTATGAAATCAACAGCATTTTAAACACATACAGATCAACTTAGTTTTATCAATACATAGCTGTTTTCTTTGTGTTTTACCAGGAAACTATGAAGCAGAGAGACGAAAACGTGTAGAAATTCTACTTCTAAACGTATAGAAAAAGCCATAACACTGACTCACCCATTGTGTCTTTCTTTTCGTTCACCCTCTGATTTGAATATGTAATTCCTTCACAAAGCAGCAAACAAACTCTTGAGTTAGAAGGAGAACTGAAAGAGTGTGGTTGTGTTGTCTAAGACCGATAGATATGGCAGCCAAGGCCCTTCTTCCTACTTGTCAAACATTAACATTGAGCAACTTTTCCTGAGGCTAGTCATGACGAGTCAACATCAAGGAGTAGGATGGGTCATACAGTAGAGCAGACAGAGAGAGAGAGAGAGAGAGAGAGAGAGAGAGAAGGAGGAGAAAGAGGAACAGGTAAGACAGGTTTGAAGTAAAAGAACAAAGCTCATAATAAGTGGAGCTTGCAGTGGAGCATGACAATATAGTTCATCTGCAGCAAAAAGAAATGTTATAACACAAAAGTCAGCATTCACAAGCAGAACAATTAGACTTTATTCCATCTTTTGCACTCTCTCATCTATATGTTGTCACTATGGGATAAAATAGCTGCAGATTACAAATAAATTCAATTTCAATACCTCATGTGGGTTTGTTGGGAGGAGTGTGTTTGAGTGTCTGACTGTGCTGTTGTGCGCCTGTTAAGGCAAAGTGGTTGGCCGCTTATAGAAAGCAGAAGTGAGATAAGTAAGACTGAATTTCACAAAAATTTCAAAAAAGTTTCTTTTTATACTTTGCTACTTTTCTTTACCATGTGTTTATTAATTTATGAATTTATTTTCCAATAAAATATGCTTAATTGTTATATAAAAGTTGTGGTTGTAGTAGCTAAGCCTCTCTCTGTCCTCCCCTTTGCTCAAGTTACAATACATTATTTTGGTCATCAGATATGAGGACCAGCTCCACTCAAGCACTTCCTCATCTCCTCTGTTGACAAATACGTCATGTCAGTTAAGTCGTCAATAGTGTGAAGAAGCCTGGGACATTGACCATTTTGTCCTCTAAAGGTTTTGTCTTGGACGACATTCAGTGTCTTGTTTTCAAAAAGAACAATTTTTGTGTTTGAGAATTTAAAGAATCTATGAAATTATGTATTAATACAAACTGCTGATTTTAGAATAAGTCAACTACGCTAAAATGTACAAATTACGTACAATAAAATGGTATGATACAGAAGAAGAATGCCACTCCATCATATATTCTGAAAAGAAAAATTTTCATTCCACAATTGGAAACTGGCTACTTGAAGTCTTGATGGACAGGAGAACAAGTTTTATGTGAAGTCCTTACTTTTGAATCCAGAAATGTCTCAGTTTGATGCTCATGATTTCCATGGCGTCTTTATAAAACGTATAAAAGTTATCTTGGTCACCTTTTTAATCGAGTGCTGACCAAACACAAGGCTGAGTTACTGTAATCCCAAAATCTGAACTACAGAATGATAAAGGAGAAGCTGCACTGTGTGATTTTTACAGAATGCCCTAATCCCACACATGAAATGTCGCTCCATGCAGACATTTGACACTTCTTATTATTGTGTGTACATGAGTCAACCTAAGTTGTAATATGGTGAGTAAACACTCTTCAGACTTACCAATGATGTTTTAGGATCTCCAGGTAGCATACGCTAATTTGTGAATTATTGGCGCTTAAACACAGGATGGCAGTGTCATCCAAAAATCTAGATATGTAGTTACCTGCTGTGCAGCTGCTGCAATTCTTTATGTGCACGATGAAGGAACCAGCGGCCCCCAGGGGTCTGTGTTTAAATTCATGGTCATACAGGGTCTTGACTTTTCCTTTTTGTCCAAGTTGGACAGCACAACAGAAATCAGCTGTAACCCTAAATAGGTAAATAGGTTTACCTTCATTTGCTACATTATTTTGGGGAGGAAATAAGTCTGCTAAGTGGTATTTAAAATTAGCAGTTGGAGACTGATCATATGGTTCTCAAGATGTTTATTCAGTGGGTGCACAGTGCTGCAGTTCACTGTGCGAACTGATGCAGGTTGAGTTGCTTGCTTCTTGTGACCTTTTCCATAAATGTTAAGTGGAGAAAACTGCAATGATTGTTGTGAAGTGTCATTTCAAACTAATTGCTCTAATATGTAAGAGAAATTGCAATGAAAGACACATCAAGGCGGGCATCAAAGAAATCAGTGTCTCTTTAATTTACAATCTCTAAGAAAAAAAACCAGTAACAACACCTACTTTTTAAAAAAAAGCATTATTTCCTAAGCAGGTAATCTTTAAACAGTTAAACATGAATCTCAGTCTGTAGGCCTGTGTTGTACAAATAAGACCAGTGCACCCACAGCAAGGCACATATTGTGTAATTCAGATGTATTGACAGTTAGCCAAACAGAAATAAATTTAATCCTAAACTTCAACAAAAAACACAGGCACTGAGAGAACATTCTTATTGTAGGATTAGACATAATCCTTGTCATATAAACTGCCCTGTACTTCTGTTACAGACTATACACTAAACAACTGCTCGTTTTGAACCTGTTAAATGTTGACACGGTTGCACACAATTTACATGAACTGGCTAAACATCATTGGCTGGAGAAAAGCTTGCAATCTGCAAACAAAAATCACATAAACATCTATTGTAATAAGAACACATTCTCCTTTTACATTATAAAGTCATAATCCTGCCTAACAGGTACAAAAACTACAACGAATGTCTCTGGAGGAAAAAAAAATAAAATCACTATCAGTATTATACATTGATTAGTGGTATCCAAGATCAAGCAAAGAGCTACTGTGAAGAGTAGAAATCTGTGATAGTAAAATGTTCCATGAACATGTTAAATGTTCAGGTAGTTAGCCTGATAACATTCTCCTACGCTGCCAGATATTGTTATAGATCTGTTGTACAATGACAGACTACAGAAAGTAACCTTTGACCCTGTACAGTTTGGTCCCATTGTCAGATCAGGGTCATTTGTAGAGTGCTGAATTGGCTAAACAGTGATGTGTTTTTTATGTCAACATGAACTACAGTGTATTTATTGCTGTCATTTTACTCCAGGCAAGACACAGTTAGGGAATTAAGGTAGATTTCAATGCATATAGCAGTACCATAATTCACCTCGTAGGCTATTCAGAAAACATTTCTTCATTTTCACAAGTATAAGGCACAAGCTGATTTGATCTACAATGTAATTTTGTCTTGCTACTTCAAAATACAAGAGCAATTCAGTATTAATTATTAATTAATCCAAGTGAGAAAAGTGTAAATATTACTAAAATGCTGAACAGAAGAATTCACTATAAAAAGCAAAGAAACATGTAACACAAACTCGTGAGTTGTCATGAGACACAGCATTTCACCCTTAAACAGTGCTTCTACTAGTAACAAGCTGTATCCTGATGTAGTAACTGGTTGTGTCCAGTCAAAGTGAAATTAAAGCTTAAAAGTTTTCCTAGCAATAGACTCATAAAACATTTTAATCTGCATTTATTGATCCATTGTGATGGATAAAAATTACTGAGTCAGTTCCCATAACAACACAGAAAACAATTAAGATTTTCAGCAGACTGCTTCAACGCTCAAGTTTCTCCCACTTTATGGTCCTGTTCTGCCTCCTCTGCCTGTGCACCACCTTGCTCCCCATTGACCTGGAACTTGTCATGGGCCCATCGGGTGCTATTGGTGTTAGAGGCCCCGGTGGCTTTGCGGATGATGAATCGTGCCCTTCCACGCGAGAAGCTTCCCCGCCCTCGCCCTCGATTGTCCATCCACTTGCACTCTGCCTCCCCGTCTCTGTCGTCGTGCTGGGAGGAAGCAAGGGGAAAGGAAGGAGGGGGTGTCAAGACAACTGTACAATAACCTGAGCTAGATTAGACTAAGTTTCAACCAAGTGTGTGAATTTAAAGAGATAAGAGGCATGAAAGGGCAAGAGATTGACCCTACCAAGTAGTATTGTTTACTCTTGGGAGTGTACTCTGGGTCCCAGTCTTCACTTTTTGGATGTCCTGCCATGTTCATGGGGTTACTAAGTGAACTGTTTCCCTGATAGTTGCCTCTGTTCCAGCCCCTCCCACGAATTCGTACTTGCTTTAATTAGAGGAAAAGAAAAGCAGCTGAATAGAAGAGAAATCACTGACAGAACTATCCATAAAAGTCAAGTGTACAGTATAACTTGATGCAGTTATTCCTCCAATCTTTGCTCCTTAAAGAGGATCATATCTCCTTAAAACACAACCTACCCAACAAAGTTTGTTAAACTTACAAATCCTCCACGTGGCCTTCCTCTTTCAGGCCCTGGTAACTCCTTCTGACCCAGTCTTGCCCTATCAAAGCCTTCATCTTTGGAATCAGACTTGTCCTGGGGCAAATCTCCTTCTTGTTGGGACTTGGAGGATGAGGAAGACGAGGACGAACTTGAGCGAGAGCGCTTCTTCTTATTTTTCCTTAAAGCAGAAATGGTACATGCAAACATCCTTCATGCCCAGCTGTTTATAGTGCAGGGTATATGAACAACAGTATTAAGCATATTTGTAGTATAGGGTGGTTAGACATACTTTGATTTCTTGTGGCTTTTGGAGGATTTTTCTGCAGACCTCTCTCTACTAGAATCTGGGGAATCCCCTGTATCTCTTCCCCGATCCTGATTATAATCTCTTTCATGGGTGGAATATTTTTTACGGCGCTCAATATCCAAACGAAGGTCCATTGGGTCACCCTTTATTTTTTCCCCGCCGTCCTGGGCAAACCAAAACAGAACACAACGTAGTGGACAGACTTTGCATTAGCATGAAGATGCTATCATTCTGCTCTCAGCCAAGCTGGTCTGTAAACTAAATAGTGGAAAAAGGGGACGAACCCGGGTAACAGCCAGCTGGCATGAATAAAACCAAGTCATTCAGGAGTAAATTTTCCAGTGCACTTAAAGGGCCAGACCAGTAGTTTTGCATGTTTTTGGGATTACCTAATTTCAACCATTCTCCAAAGCATATGTTTGTAGACTGACTTCATTTCTTCAAGGTGGCTACTTAAATATGGTATGAAAATCAACTTGCAAAGTCTTGGAATTTTCTTGAAAAAGGGCAACATATCACAGTCAGCTTTATTTTATTTGTGTCAAAGTGATGTTACTGCATGGTCAGCCATCAGAAGGGTGTGTTTTTAAAAACTCCCTCACTGGTGCATTGAAGTGGGACATGCCAGCATCTGAGACTTGAAGAATCCACTACTCAACAGCAACAAACGGCACCAATGTCATTCGTTGCTCGTTTGTCTTCCACATTTAACATGACTTCCAACAACAAGGTGCGTTTGCAAGTGGATTCAAAACAGTCTCCGAATACTCCCTGAGATGTGTTTTCTATTTCAAACAAGTTTAAAGTCATTGTCAGTTGATTATCATACCATACTGATGCCATGAACTGACACTAAAAGTTGCTGGGATGGTGGGAAACCAATCTAAAAACTTTGAGGTATGCTGTTGGTGTATATGCACGCTATAGGGTATTTGGCTGTACATGCAAAACCACCTCTATCTTTAGCAGCAGTGAAGAAAAAGGAGGATACGATCATTCAATAATTTGAGTTTACTCAATTTAACTGTTTCTTTTTTTAGTAGTGTTTACACTTCATGTTTACAAATTGTTGGCCATATATGTCCATGCGCATCAATAAAAAAACTGACGGTCTAGTCAAAAAGTTTAGCATGTCAAATATGAGCACAGGTGCATGTAGTGCTTGCTGTTGGTTATTTCCGTTCCTTATTTTTTTAAAGAATACTTACGAAGACAATTGCTTAGAGTCCTTTGAACAGCTTTGGCACAGTGGCTTCCATTTCTGACCTTATTTGATTCATTAGCCTTGGTCAGGCTTGTGCCAACAGTATAACTCACTCAATTCACCATGGGTGAAGGCGATATAACAAACAACAAAGTCAAAGTGCCTTATTTCGCATGTGCATTTCTTAGACTTTGAGCATCTCCCTTCAAGGAAAGCCACAGGCTTTAAGAGAGTGCAGTCTAAAGGCATCAGGCTTGCTCATTTGTTTGCTGTTGTTTGTTTTTCCAACATACTTCATACTGCAAAATGTTCAGTCACCTTGTAAGTGCCATCCTCTGAGCTTTTCATCGCCTCAAAAAGTTGAGAGTGTTTCTTAAAAGCACTCGTTGACACATCAATTCTTCTGTGGGAAAGAAACACAGTTAAAACAGACAATTAAATGCACATAGTAACGGGAACCACACCACAGCAAAGCTACCAAAACATCAAAACTGTGAGACTACACTGAACTGCGAGGACAACACAAAACAGAAAAAAGAAAAAGAAAAACGGGTGGGAAAATAAAACTGACCTCCACCGAGCATGAGAACAAATAAGCCAAGATAGTCTGTTGATTTTCAGGTAGGAAAGGTGAGAGGAATACCTGAAAGCTGTTAAAAGAGGAGGTGAAGCCACAGCACACTGAAGGTGAGAGGGTCACTCAATAGGCGACTCTACCTGTGTATCTCTGGGCTTTTTCTTGGCTTCATCATTTCCTTCTCTGCAGCGCGTCTTTGGTACATGGTGAATCGCTCGTTAAGAGTCATGCCAGAAGATGGAAAGTGCTGAGCTGTCAGGGTAAACAATAAGAAATAAAGGCTGTAGTAAATCCAGATTTATTTATTTATTAGATCATTATGGTTAATGTTGCAAATCAATGGTTTTATGGCAATATTGTATTTTTATACAATTTTTGCATCAATGTCATGAAGTGTACCCTGATTTGTCAAGTATTTCATTCACTGGATTAACCAAGACAGACATACCTCATGTTCATTGAGTCCATTAACAGTTTCCTAATTGTGATGTAGTTTGTCACTGATTTGAAAGTTAAAGATGAGCCTATGCTGAGTAACCTCCATGGCCAAAGTAAATACAATATGGCGTGTAATTCTGAAAAACGGATGCTTTCCTTCGTCACTGAAGAACCTGTGTCATTTTAGATGAATCTGTGTTGGGAATAATGGGTCAAGACATGTCTTAGACACAGTGGGGACTCACCTTTAATGTGGTGAACGATGGTGACAATATGTTGAGCAAACAGCTCAGAGGGACTCCTGGGTAACTGAGCAGCCTGTTGAACATGTTGAAAGATGGAGCGAAACTGCTGATCCTTTTTTGAGGACTGCACAAGATCCTGAGACAACTGTCGCTCCTCAGCTAAAATATCAGAAGAGCTGAAAATGATGAAAAAAAAGACATGCTTTTTTGTCTCTGCCTCTTCTTTATATATATATATAATATATATATATATAAAATAGGCTAAAAACAAAACATATTGTTCCTCAATATGAACAACACAGGTAAAGCCTTGCAGTAAATGCATTGTTTTTCTTTTTCATAAGAAATCAGTATATCATCAGTTTACAACAGAAGTGCAGCTACTATTGCAAAGTCTACAGCAGGGTGCACAGGTCTGACCTCTGGCTCACTGAGGAAAGACCCCATATGGGACAAGAAACTATAGTTTGGTGCTCACCTCATCAAGCTATCTCCAAGGAAATCCATTCTGACATTAAATTTAGCTTCCTGTTTTCTTGTGGACATGAGAGGTGAGTCCTCTCCCCTGACCATAAACATCTCTCTGTCAGAGTTCCTCCTTGGTGGTGGTGTGGGAGATGGGATAGAGGGAGATTTTGCCATCTTCCTGGCTTTACAACTCGTGTCTGGGGAGAGTTCCTCAAATTTTCCTGTTAACTCCCTCTTGGCGAGGGCGGCGGCAATGGCTGCTGCTTTATCGTGCTTCCGACTGAGATATATCTCCTCTGCCATGGCGTCGAGGTCACTGTTAGCTATCTGTGAATGGGCCGCATTCTGCCATTTGCCAAAACACTCTTCGAACAGTTCACGGGCTGAGTGAGTGACCTTGCTCTTTGGCTTAGAGGAGTCATCCCCATTGTGCCAGTCTTTGTGACATGGCTTTGAATGAGGCTTGATGATCACCTCCTCCTCTTCCTCTTCCAGAAAAGGAGAAGCTTTCAAAAAGCTGTTCAGAGACACTTCACTGTCAGCGTCGTCTTTGTACTTCCTCGACACTGAATCAGCGTTAGCTGCTGATGCTTTGCCATTTACTTTCCCCTGTTCCATATTCACATCATTTGCCTCTGTGTTCTTGCCATTTTCCCAAGCAGATGTAGCTTTTTTATTTTGCTCCTCGAGAAACCTAAACAACAACAAACAGATAAAGAGTTGCATCTAGCTGGACATGCTACTTGAGAAACTGCATAATGTAAATTTACAGAAAACCAAATGGTAGGGTCTTTACAAATTAAAACAGGGAAATCAGTCAGACAAGTCTTCTATCTATGAAAATAAAGACATAAAGCCTCAATGAATTTCAATGAAAAACAATGCTGTTTGACAAATCAAATATTTTGAAAATCCCTCTAAATCTCTGAATTTTATTTTAGTCTGCTGTGACAACCACACTTGACTACCCAAAGCTTGGATTGCCATGGGAACAACAAGACACAAGTTATTGTGTGATCTAAAAAAAAAAGGCATGTGAAAGCATTTTAACAACCAAACAAGGATTCATAACATGGTATGTGTATATCTATAAAGCTTGCATAGTTTGCTAAAACAATGTCAGAATTAATTTGAGAGAAGAAAAGTAAAATCAGCCTTACTTTCTGAAGGCAATAGAGATTGCTGTTTTATCTCCATCCAGGTATTCCTCATTGGAGAAGAAGTCAAAGCTGGAAAGCATTGGGTTTAGACCTTCACGTGAGGGTTTTTTCATGGAGGATGAACTACACACCATCTGCCAGGAGGGGGCGCCATTGCCGATGTCATTTGTGCTTTTAGGGGAGGAACCAGACTGTTTAGTAGTTTGGCTGCTCTGACCAGAGTTTACCAGAGGACTGGTTCTCTTTGGACTGCTGTTGCAGTCTGTCAGGGCCTGCCAGTTCCCCTCAGTTTTCCCACTGCCTGTGCCGTCTTTGGCATCTTCTGCCGACACCCCGACAGGCTCTACTGGATCCCCATCTCCCCCTCCTCCCTTTTGGACCTCCTTTGAGGCCGAGTGCTCCTCTGTCACATCTTTAGAGTTCTGATTAGCCAGCAGCAAGGACGGCCTGCATTTGGGAGAGGACGAGTGCGAGGAGGAGGAAGAATGCTGAGAGTGTCTAGATAATGGCGAGGAGGATCGGTCAGAGTGCTGAGTGTGACTTTGAGGGGGGCTCCCTGAGCGTTTCTGGAGGTTGTGCGATCGTCCACGCGGATGGTTTTGATGCTGCTGTTGCTGCTGCTGCTGCTGTTGTTGTTGTTGCTGCTTTTGAGGGTACTGCTTGTAATTCTTCCAGTTGGGGCGGAAGTTGTTATTGTTATAGCCGCCGCCGCCGCCGCCGCCACCCCCACCACCACGCTGGTACCGTCCACGTGGGAAGTAGCCCCGACCTCGGCCCCTGAAGTTGTATGGTCTCCGGAAGCCGCGGTGGTAGCCCCGAAACTCTCGGTTGTTGTGGTATCCTCTCGGATATTTCTTCTCCCGGTTATAAGACGGAGAATGAGATCTTGACCGTGACCGAGACCTAGAGCTACGAAAAGGTTGAGGAGAGAAAGAAAGCACATAACTCCTTTCTGGAAAGAGGCAGATGTAACACATGCTGAGTTTTTCTGGTTTCTAGCCCCAAAAATAGAAAACTCCAGAGATGTTATGTAATGCAACACTACCACAAACTGTAAACCACAGCCTAAAATGAAGTTAAGTTCTGATACAGTTTCAACAAAAGACAGACACTTATGCAGGCACACTCTGTGTACACACTTTGATATCAAAGTGTATTTTTCTGGTGAGCAAAAAAAAAAAAAAAAAAAGGCATTAAATGTAATATGCATCTACTTTTATTCAATGTTGTAAGCAAGACACACAATTCCCTTTAGGCACATGCTAAGTGTTTTCATCTGATCATTTAGCTCACTGACACACACAACAACAGGTCCACCTGGTCAGTATATAAATGCTTTGATTTTTGCTGTTCTTAAAATAAATACGAGAATATTAGTTACAGTGTAGTGCACTGAATGACATGATGGCTGAACAGACAGAAAACTACAGGAACTCAGACTTTATTAAATAAATAAATAATGAGTCTTTGGTGTAGGAAAACAACAACGATGACATCTTACAATACTGTTTGTTGACAAACAAACAATGATGAATACCACTTGAACAGTATAATACCACTTTAAACCAGTCTGTTCGATTTTCTTAAACAGATGTTGCGCATGTAACAAGCAAGGTGGATACATACGAATTACAAAACCATAAAACACATTCTGACATAACTGCAGCTGCAAATAGCTGATATAGAACAGTTTGAATTGCCAAAACATGTCAGTATATAACATGTGGGCTTCCATGTTGAGAGAAGCACACAAAGAGCGGTGCGCGGAGAAAAGCTGAGATTTCACAGCGTGGAGCTGAGCCAGGCTGCAGGTTCAGACAAGTCCACATGGTGGCTCTGCTGCGCTTCTCATTTGAAAATAATAATGCTTCGTGTTTTACTCAACCCTGAACACTTTAACACAGCCCTGCGAATATAACCGCAATACAGGATGTTCTCTACTTCAGATTAATAATCTTTTCAGCCAAACTTTTATGTTTAAACATAACCACATTTCTACACGACAGTCACAACTTTCCACTGCGTTCTAAGAGATAATGAATCTACATGTTGTATCACTTTTTTTTTTCAACAAACTACATCTTCAGCAACTTTTCTACAATTGTCGATAAAGAAAAAGTGACTGCTCAGTCAGTTTCCCATTGAAATGTTAATATAATGAAGATTTCCTTAAGTATGTTAATGACTGACAACAAGCTGACAACATACTGCAGCACTATATTTCTAAACTGACAGAGCCAAGCAGTGCAGCACTACATGCAAACACATTATAAAGCCATAGTAAAAAGGCGGAAAAAGCACATAACTCACCTAGTGTGTTTTTTCATTGGAATACAGAGTGATTAAAGAAGGCAGCGCACTGAGCAGCACTGCACACTCACAGTGCGAGCTACAGATACTGCAGCTCCTCTGGCCAGCTCTGGTGAAGCGGGGAGTCACATGGACCATATGAGGGGGGAAAAAAAAATCTACGCAAATCCTTTGACTCTATGCTTGCCAGTTACAAGGGCTGTTCAACCAGTGTAGTAAGGCTTTATAAAAAGATCTATTGGACCAAAATACTAATTTATGTAATATTCCAGCAAGATACAATATAGCTTCTCTTATTATATTTTACATAAGTCACTAAGGAAAGTCGCTACACTGTGTCCCATTTAAACCCTGAGGTGTTAAAAGCAAGGGATGGTGACAGTGAGAGATGGTGAAGATTAAGCTCCAAACTGGAACTGTTTCTCGGTTTTAGTTATCAGTCCTGTCAACATGTTGGGGATGTTTTCCCCAGGAGGTTGTAGGGGGATAAATCATTTCCGTGTGTGTGTGTGTGTGTGTGTGTTTCTTTCCTTGGGTGTTGGTATTTCTGTAAAACCTATGCAAATGTGTGCATTCATGGTTTTACAGTTCCACAAGCCCATGTGCACGTTGTGTTCAGGAAGAGTTAACCATTAGATTCCTTCCATGTCTCTTCTTTATGCTAATTTTAATGTGAGCTGCGACGCTGCCAGGAAATGAGCTGCCCTGCCATTTTACTGCCATGCCACAGTCATTCTGCCAGAAACAGCAGAGGCATCGGAGTGAAGCTTGGCCTTTTCTTCCAAGCGCACATCATAGCCAGCAGATCACCCCACAGCCAGGGCATTTTTGCTTAAGCAAAGCAAAAAAACACCAAACACTGCCTTGATAGACTTGATAAAATATTTCCATATGCCACTGAGGTTGAAGTATATACAAATGTTTTCCCATATATTGCAAACAATATTACTGAATAATATTCTCTCAAGCTTCAGTTAAGTCACTAACCAGCAGCTGAACTCTTTCTCAAACTCCTCTAGACACAGAAGCTGAAGCCAGTCTTTGGGTCAGACCCAAATCCATTAATACGCTACACCAGCTTTTGTCCATTCATATGAGAACTAAACTCATGAAGTCGAGGACAAGAGAAAGTCTTGCAGATGGCAATCAACAGATACGCAGCTAACAGGAAAGGCTGATAACACAACACAGAGCTGCCTGTTGACATACTCCCACTGTCAAAATAAATTACTTGCAAATACTTACTAAAAATAATAACTTCACATCACATCTTAACAGCACATTGTACAGTCCATCCTTGAAGGACGGGCTAAAATTTACTACATAGAATTAGTGGGAAATATGCAGGAAAAATGGGATGATCAATGTTGATGTCCTTGCTTAACCTGACGGCATTTTGTCTGTTGCACCTGCTGCTAGTTTCCAGTTATTCATGCTTCAGGAATTAGGTGGGTCAGTGCATTCTACGCTCATATATACTGCAACACAGTTTGTTCTAGACAAAGGCTCAGAACAGCAATAACAAAGCTAAATAAGGGTTGAAGAAAAACCAGGTTGCTCTTATCCCCAAGGACACAACACAGCAAAGAGATTTGTCAAACAGAATGCATGGTTCATAAAATGGACTCTACCTGTAACGACGCCTCCTGGACCGGGACCTGGAGCGACTTCTGGATCGCGAGGTGGAGCGGGATCTTGACCGGGACCTTGAGCGGCTCCGAGACCTTGAGGCTGATTTTGTTGATCTGGACATCACTGCAGCCAGCCCACCTCAAACTGTCACACAAAAGAGTTGTACGTCCGAGTTAGGATTTGGAAAATGTAAGAACCCAAACAGTACAAATTGTAAAAAAAAAACAAAAAAAAAAAACAAATGGATAAAAAATAAAGGCCTTTTTAAATCACCTTTTCAAGCTGCACAGAATGGGTATTAACCATCTGCGCCAACAGCTGAATGAGCAATTAGCACAGTTGGAAAAAATGAATTTAAAGAAAGCAGAGATCTGTTAATCCGTTAAATAAAATATCCAACACCGATTAGCCATCCGAGATGCGCTTCAAAAGCCCAGTTGGTGCAAAAGCTGAGTGAAGAAACGGAGCAGCTGTGAAAAAGGAAGAAGGCAATTGGGAGTAGTGTAGGGCATCCAAACAGAACCAGTTTTATTTAGTCAGCGATCATTTGCATAGAGGGCAGTCTTATGTCAGTCATCTGACTTCTTAACTGTCGAGCCAACTATAAAATATTTAACACAAAGATACGCTTATCAGTAAGATATGCCAAACCTGTTCTAGAAGGTATACAGCAAATCAACATAAAGAATATGATGGTGACAGAAATGCTTGTTCCCTTCACACTAAATAGACAACACAGCTTTAGTGTTCAGTGCTATTGTTTTTCTAAGTTGAACTCGGCATCACTGTATTTCTTTGAATGACTCACCTATACATATACCATAAGTCTCTCCATCACCATCATTTTATGCTATATATATGTCAAATAGATGAATACAGTCCTGCTAGTAAACAAATGTAGTGCGTATGTGTCTCTACAGAAAATTTAACACCAGTCTCGTCTAGTATTTGCTTAGTTGTTGTTTCCGCTTTCTCATTTGAGATTAAAAGTACTAATTACTGTTAAACTCGCACCTAGCTGGTCCAAAGTTAAATACTTCAGCTCACCATCAGTCCACTCAGGTAATGGGAAAGTAGTTAATTTCCTCTGTAGCTAACTCACCATATTTGCTTGTGGTTAAAGATCCGCTGTGAATATGCTACCAGAGATGCTGCACTTTTAACTTCATGCTCAGTGCTCACAGGTCTCAGATATGATTATAACTTCAAAGGATGTTTCCGCTCAACTCCTCCAGGGTTTCACTTGTACACTCTCAAAATTATTAATACAACTCTATAGTAGGAGCATCTAATTCTTCCCAAGGCCCACACGGCATTATCTGTGACATATGGTCCTCGTAGAACAGTAAATGCCAGGGATCAAATAATTGATCTTTCATTATGAGAGTCATCTTCAGAGACTTTAGAAGGAGGAAATTGCCGACTACACATGACGGGGGATTTCAAAACCAGTGCACGCTATCACATGGTGGTCCTTGTGTGTATCCTTGCTACTATTTTGGAGAGTATTGAAATGGATCCCCCCCCCCCTTCCTCTTCGTGCTCGGTGAACTTCGCACTCTCCTCATTCCTGGCAGCTTGTTGTTTTTGGCTTTCAGATAATAATTTCCTGAAGGTCCAGCCTCAACAAACCGTCAATTTAGCTTACTGTGCACATTGAAAAGTATGGCATTCAGATGTGCCCCTTTCCAGCATGTGGTAGCACATGTAAAGCAAATACATTGGGACAGTCTTCTTAATTTTGCTTTATATACAAGAGGAAGTTATCCTTGAAGGCAATTCCAGGGGCGAAATCCAACTGTAGTGAATTGTTCTGAGTTAGTTATAATAGCTGTATAAAAATGTTGAAAACCAGCACATCTGCGTTTCAGACATTTTCACATGGCTGAAAATAGTTTTCCCGAAACTTCTGAATGGGTGTCATCAGAAACTGTATACAAAACGGCTACACACAGCTATGGTTCCCTAGCTGTTGAAACTATTGCATTATGCCTGCTTTATTAACTCAAACAACCTTATGTCTGTGCATGTGTATAAGGATCCCAAGCATTGTCTTTGTCTCCTGTACTCAGTATGAAAACTAGTGGGCAGAATTGAACAGTGGGATCTGTTTCCATTGATAACCAGCTGCAGCTGCTGCTCCTCCACACTGTGTGGTCGGCAGCCTAATCACTGAGATTTCAGCCTCTCTCAAAAAGGCTGTGGCAAGCTCGGTCTTTAATCACTTGCTACTAGATTTCAGCACACCAGAACAGTTAATGACATGGGCACACAAATGCAAACACACGTCTTTCTATACTTTTGTGGGACTTTTTATGTATTTATTTATATTTAATTAAATATGACTAAACCGAGAGCAAAAAAAAACACTTTGTCCATTGCCATCATCAAGGTATGTGTCAACCACTGAAATGCCATGCCATTGCACTTGTCAACTCTGTGCTAAATCCTCCACTTTATGGTGCAGGCACGAATAGCTGCACAGTAGCAAGACAAAACAAAATTTTTCCTAGTTTAAAGTCTAACTTGACCCTTCTGGGCTTCACTCCCAGGTCACCCTGTTATTGATTATCTCGTGCTTGGATCATCTGTTGTAAGATTTTGGGACAAACAGAATCATCACAGTATATTAGCTGGTATCTGAATGGACAACCTTTTTCACCTCATTTAAAACAAACAAACAAAAAAAAAAACCAAAACATTAACAACATTCAAAACTAGAAAAACAGGTCTTGAACACATAACTGAAGTAACACAGGGGAGTGAATAGATAGTTTTTAAATGCTAAAACAGAATTCAGCTGATCGTGGTTCTCACATTTGATAGAAGTTCAGTACTGTGGATATGCACATGATAAAGAGTCCCCTTGGAGGAGGGAGCGACAGCTGTATAATCCTCATCAGCTGCTTACTTCATGTAACAGCAAAAGTAGCTCTGATCAACAATGGTCCAGCAACTTGATACATGGCTCAAAGCATAGGAGAAGAAACGGTCCACTCAATCAACCACCCCATCATTAAGGCTGGGATGCCACAGTGGCAGCTGGAATCACATTTGCTATCTATATGTGCCCCTGAGACTCCAAGCCCGCTATTTCAGAAAAGCCAAAGCAACTGTCATTGGCACAATCTTTGGTTATTGACATGTAAGCGAGACACTTTTGCATGCTGGGTCGGTTAATGGATAGCGAACCCACTGGCAGCGCTGTTTCAGACGAGATAAACTTTGCAGCTTCCTCCTTTTTGGTTGTTTAATGAAACAATAAATCTTCTTCTGACTAGCCTGCTTCACTCAGCTATGTATGAATGAGTATTAGCTGGCTTGTTTGTCTTGAGGGAGCTACTGTAGACTGTTAGACAAACAGATGACCTCACGCATGAGATTTCATGCAACATTATTCTTTGCTAATCATCTACAATGACAGATGAACACCTTTCAGCTTGGCATTGAACTTGGCTGCAAGTTTAATGAAAACATGATCCCAGTAGCACCTAACTTTCTGCCAGCTACGGCAGTTCAGTATCACTCTATTCTCAACTGGGTAGTCTGTTTTGTTTGGAAGGACCTGTGCGGCTTTTAATCATTTAGTTCCAGTTGAAAATGTATTACACAAACAGTTGGCAACTTAAAAACTGTATGGTTTTCCCCCGACGCACATGAGGCTACTTCTGCCTGGAAAATGGCATATGGCAGAGTGACACTGAGGCATCCTCACACCGACATGCCTCTCATCTGTCTGTCATCACCACATTTGTGGAACACAAGGGGGGGAACTCAGCAGTTAAAGGTCCTCTCTATTTTGGTCAGTTGGTAACAGCCTGGCAAATGATGAGTTATAGTTGTTTATTTTCAAAATGATTACAATTGATTTTGTGTTTCCCTGTGCCCATCTCGTAAGCATAAAGGTGGAGACAAAGTTGGCGTGGCAGAGAGTGGCATGTTGTATAACCAGAGTAATTTCATTTCTGATGTGGCGGCACCAGTTTGTTTCACTGACTGAGGAGTTCCACACCCAGATGGTGCCAATAAAGTTGCACGCAGGCAGCACCATATTCATATATTTTGCCTATGAAGAACTTGCACAAATGTGATCTCCACCGACAGCAGCCTATGACACATACACATGGAGAGTTGATTAAGTGGTCGTCTCTATATCCTCACAAAGAAAGTGGCACAGACAGTCAGAACAGAAGTGAATGTGTTGTACTGCCACTTCAGTACGTGCCAGCATATTTAAACTTGGGCACACCTTTTCATTGTGTGTGCACTTTATGTGCAGCTGGTGTTTGTTAAAGAGGATCAACCTCAACCAGGATCCATGTAGCCTAGCAGGAAATTGCAATTTTTTTCTTTTTTTCTTTATTTTTTGCATCACTGCATCCCAGAAATAGATTCACATTGAACCACAAAAGCAAGTTATATGAGCATGTACAGGAAACTCATGACTAAGAGACGCTTCTTATTGCTGTGTGTAACTTGTTGGGCTTAATTGTAGCTGTTTACTGTAGATGGAGGGACAATTTAGTCAAACCTGCAATCTTGTCATGGGGCCAACCACTAAAAACAACAGTCCTACTACTGGTAAAATTAAACATCTCATTTTACTGAGGTTCCTCTAGAGTCCTCAGGTGGTCCGGTGATCTATTAAATCACATTCAAGATATAAATATTGTAAAATAGTAGCCTATCTGCATAAGGCTGCTGAGCATCCAGCAAATTATTCAACCCTTACTTCACAGATATTTTCACTACAGCTGTTCAAATGACATCATTGGACTTAAAATGAAAGCATATCAGAGGCAGTGGGTCATGTTCTGGATGGGATGGACACTGCATCCCGCTGTTTCTATAATGATGTATAAATCAAGTTCAGAAAAATAAGTAATCTAACATTTAACATCAGAGAAGCATTCAGAACAATGGCTCCCTCAGAAGACCAAATACCCCTATATACTGTATGGTCTAACAAATTACCGACCAAATGCTGATATTTTTCCAGTCGGCATTTATAACCAGGAACGGGATATCGCTGGATTTTCAGTGACATTTTGCCATGGATCAGCCACTGAGCTGCGTAACTTCCACACAACCGACTGTAAGCTTCATTTTCCATACTGCTGCCATTATGTCATAAACATATAATCTTTCGCGCAAATTATTGCCCAAAGAATAAAGAGAAAATGAATAACACTAAGCCACTTACCGGTCAGCGTTGTCGTTCAGTTCTGTCGCGTCACATTCAGGCACCGCGGCGTAAATCTGCAGAAATTAGTTAAAGACAGTTTCTCCCTGGTCTTGTCTGTTTGTCTGTGCTCTTGTGCCCAACTTGTGTCAAGTGAGTGTGTGTGTATATGTGTGTGTGCGTGTTAGCGTGTGTCGGCTGAAGTCTGCGGTGTTGAGAGAAAGGGGGTGTGACCGCTCCGTGTGGTTCAGAGGTTCATATTTCCTTCCGCCTTCGCC